TGATGATTGGGTGGTGTTGTCACTCTTTGTGTATTGTCTGGGGCCGCATGTCAGGGGCCGCCAGTGCAACGAAGAACTATGCTCTGGCCTACACTCCTTTTTCTGTGTGCAGATGCACGAGTTATTTCTCTTAAAATGTTTACCATGCATGTCAACAATACATATCGCACTCGCACAAGGCTAACTCGGATAGAGTGGAGAAAACAATCTGTTGTCAATGTTGGATTGGGGTAGCAGGAGGGGAGGGGGGGGGGTCTTTGGGTTGTTCAGTAATTGGTGGCCGCAAAGAGGCTATTCAAACTCCACACACACGAGAATCCGATTTTGTCTCTCGGGCGAGTGGACCGGGACTCAATCCCCGGGCTCTTAGAGTGCTCTCACGACGGTGTCATTAGCCTCGAAGCCACCTCGTGTTAAAGCGATCGCCAATGTTACTGCATCATAAAAACCCAACATTTCCGTGCGAAAGCCACACATTTTCTCAAACCGGCGATCGTTTGAAATATTGATGAGCTCTCGGGCTCCATGTTGGGAGCGCAGATCCCTGCTTTGACTTGCTAATCGCTCTGCGTTTGGCAGATGGTGAATGACTCCGTTGAAATTAATTACTCGACAGATCTCTCAGACAATAACGTGATATTTTTTTTATTCGTTTGTGGGATGAGCGATGTTTTTTTTCTCTCCTAAAAATGTTAAATTCTTTCTTTTGGTTGTTTGTTCTCTGGTCCAAACCACACGTGTGGCACTGCGCTTTTTTTATTTGTTTCAAATTTTAGGGGGTAGTGGGGGGGTTTGCACTTGCTTTTACGTGGCACTTCCATTGTCATGGCTCTACCGTCAACGGGCCGGCATAGTTGCGTTGATTTTCATGGAATGTATCGCTGTTGGAATTTGTTCATCGAGCTCGCACATAAGTCTGCTGTTGTTCTCCCCTCAAGCTCACCGTTGAGGCCAGCACCACAGAGCTCCCTCGCACCGGGGTGGTTACTTTGGCAAGGACAGACTGACATTTTGATAAGATTCTTCTTCTTTATACAGACTGCACTCTCAGTTAATTTGTTTTCCCCATTGTTGATTGATAGCTCATTTCTCTAGAATTGCTCGTGCTTGTGTTTAGTCTGTTGTCCTTCCCCCGCGCCTCCGATTATCACGGTTGACTACGTACATTGCAAAAGAAGTTCAACATACATACAAACACCCACGTTGTTGTTGTTGTTTTAACGGTTTTGCAACTGCATAGGGTTGGGCTATCATTGTGTTGCTGCTGCTGCGGCTCTCTGAGAAGTTTATTTTGTGTCTTGCCGCGTAGCCTTGTTCAGAAGCGTGTTTGGGTCTCACCGCGTAGCATTGTCTAGAAGCGTGTTTGTGTCATACCGCGTAGCGTTGTCTAGAAGTTGTGTTTGGTTCGTACTGCGTAACGTTGTTCAGAACCATGTCCGACGTTTCGCTGCGTATGCGTGGAACTTCCAGCATTGCTGGAATAGGATTTCACTGCTGGGTTTACGGCAAAAATTAACTTAACATTTTCCAGTCACGTGTTTGACAATTAAATATTGTTCACACTTTGTATTGCCTCGTTAAAATTAATCTGAACAAATAAAATAAAAAATTGCTTTTTTCAGCGATAACAATGTAATTATATCCATAGTGTGGGGTTGAGCGGTCGTTAACTGACGGCAATAAACCTGGTGACCTGAGATCAATTCCCGACCGTGGTTAAGATCAGTGGCGAGTGGCATCTGAACAAGCCCAACACGCGCTAACCGGTGTGGTGGAGTACGGTCAAATAATCTCCACGGCGGACACTACCAGAACAAAGAGACCTTCATTCGGTCGTAGATTCATAAAGGGGGCCGTAATTACGTACGCCAATCCATTTCAAAGACAATGCATATATTACCAGAGCATGTTTGTTTGCCTATTATGCCACAAGTATGTGTGGTTAATGCAGACTTAATGCCTTGCAAAAGATATATTTTTGGTCTTTGAACATCTGAACACCTCTTTTATTGCCAGATAATGGTAAAACTTATTCTTGTTTTTCATTTTTTTATACTGGCAAAAAAAAGGTATCCCATAGATATGATTGCTTTTGTTACTTTGTTAAGAAAGAATAGCGATCGCAACGTGAATCCAATTTCCTTTCGCGGCGTCCGCACCGCACGCATCGCTGCAGCGTCCTCGCTGCCTTCCGTCAGTCGGACGACGGCGCTGACGCTCACCTCCTGCGTCGGCGGGGTGTCTTGCGGGTTGGTCGGTGTTTGCGAGTTCACCCCCCCACCCCGGACAAAACGACTCCGTTATTTCCACGTCTCCTTGAGGGAGCCATCAAAACAAAGCATGACGCGCGAGGTTTTGGGCGTGAGCGAGCGCAGGACGTTGACAGAGGGGAGACATCGCCATGATGACCGGTGGACGGGGGGGAAATCCACTTATCTTTCGTAATGAATTTATGGGGAAATGTGGCTCCGCTGAAAGGTGGGACACAAGGGTTATCTGTTGTTCTCGTGTTATGCATGAGTGTTATGATTTGTGTGAGAGTTGTGTGTGTGTGTCTGCACTTTGCCTGATTGTGAATTCTGTGTCTGTATGAATGCATATGTGAGTGTGCGTGTGTATTAGCACGGTAGTTGGGAGCAGTTAGCGTGCTACGCTATGATCCCTGCGACACCTGCGAGCCGAGTTCGAATCCAGCTCATGGCCAAGATCAGTGGCAATAATCTGAACCGCGCCTGGGAACTCGACTATGTCGACTCGGCCTGAAAAATGAGTACTCCATCGCAGTCTGTAAACACGGGCACTGGGGAGACACTGCATGTCGAAACCCGGTCCAGAGTTTTCTTGTCCTGAATAAATGCGACTGAAATTATAGAATTATCCACTCCTGTGCGGCTAGTAGATTTGGCAAGAATTACTTTTTTTCCGCGTTTGGAGAGAAGGATATGTAAAGGAAACGAGGGTTGAACCCATCAACGCGGGCACCGCCGTTTACCCACGGTGCCGCACAAACGACATTCATTTCACTCCCCATTGAGTTCCGATGTCTTCGCTCCATCTTTCCCGCGGCCATCCCGTTGCGCGCGCTGAGACGTCATCACATCACATTCCTCCAGACGAACGCGGCGCTGCGTAGAGCGACGATGTCGTGTGGTTTTTAGAATCGTGTGTTTTTAAACTCGTGGGGTTTTTAGAATCGTGTGTTTTTAAACTCGTGGGGTTTTTAGAATCGTGTGTTTTTAAACTCGTGGGGTTTTTAGCTCGTGGGTTTTTGTAACTCGTGTGTTTTTAGCTCGTGTGTTTTTTAAACCCGCGTGTTTTTAAACCCGTGGGTTTTTAAACCCGTGTGTTTTTAAACTCGTGTGTTTTTAAACCCGTGTGTTTTTAAACCCGTGGGTTTTTAAACTCGTGGGTTTTTAAACCCGTGTGTTTTTAAACTCGTGTGTTTTTTAACTCGTGTTTTTTAAACCCGTGTGTTTTAAAACCCGTGTGTTTTTTTAACTCGTGTGTTTTTAAACCCGTGGGTTTTTTAACTCGTAGATTTTATTTTTTAACTTGTGGGTTTTTAAACTTGTCACACTTGGCGGGCGGCGCTGACCGCCTCCGCGTTCTCCGCTCACTGCAGAGCTTTACGATTCGACTCCCGCGGCCGCCCCGATTAATGCCACGACCCCCAAACAGGAGGAGGAATTTCCTTCAAGTCCAGCCGTCGCCTGATGAGGCTGCGTGTAATTACCGGCGAAACATCACGGTAATCGAATTGTAAATGTTGTAGTGGGTTTACTCTACAACACACAAGCGGTGTGCTGTACTAGTAACTAATTGACATGTTTTGTTTACGTGTCGGGCGGTGGCGAGTGTAACGACACATTTATATTCACGCGATCTGACCCAACAAACCTGTATGATGGGTGACCCACCTGCGTCGCCAAAATGACAAATCGTGAAACAAGTCGCGTAAAGTGCAGCGAAGGAGGCAAAATAGAAATGGGAGCAAAATCAGCGGCGCCACCGCACCTCGTCGGTGTTCGACGAAACCTCCGACATAACGTCGGACGTCTGGACGAACGTGCGGTGCGATCCCGCTGAAAAATGCGCGAGAGACAGGGGCAAATGTAACCCTCCTTCGCTCTCGACCAAGCGAGCACCACTGCAGGCAAACGCAACCATTCACACGCAACGCCGAACTTTAAATCGATCATCCCCGCGGCTTCTTCCATGTCAGAGTGATAACGGACGAGGCTTAATTGAGAAGGACTGCGGCGCGTCAATCCCGCGACGCCTAAGACGCAACATTTGTGTGAATCGTAGATCAATCGAACCCGCGTCCATCGTGGAGGGGGGGGGCGGGGGGGGGTCGCCACGCGTTTGCTGGGGACGCGGGCGCAGGCAGGAGGCTGTTTGTTGCCTCTCGTGTGCGTTAATTCCACTTACTGTGTTTTAAGCCACGCTTTTTCACATTAGAATGGCCCTTTGATGTCTTGAGCATGCAAAGTGACAGCCTCTCCATATGTCGGATTGATTTGATTTATTCGGTGCATATAAATGGTGTTCGTGCCTTAAGGGTGATTGTATGTTTTTGCACATTAGAAAGTAATAATAATCATGCGTGTTACCGTGCTCGCCTACAGTGCATATTTGCTCATGGCACAATGTAATTACGTTTGATTGCTGATGTGTGCATGCGTGTGTGTGATTGCATTATTGGGAGCGGTCCCGCAGCGGTTAGCGTACCGCGCTACGAACTCTCGACGATCCACGTTCGATTTCCCGCTCGCGATGACGAATTTTTGAACTGGTTTTGGTCCTCCGCTAGGTCAACTCAGCCTTAAGTGGGTACCTGGTGCGGCGTGTAAGCATCGGCACCGGGGAGCATGGTGCTGGCCACCCACCCTCTCGTGCATTAATAAGTGCTCGCTTACAGCACTTGCCCCAACAGTTTGTTCAGGCTATACGGAGGAGCTTTGTCTCTTTGTCTGTGTGTGTACGTGTGTCTCCATTAGCTGGGCCCCTCACGAGTCCTGCTCAAGCACTGGCACGGAGACCAGCTGGCCGAGATCTGCCACCAGCTGCAGCGGAAGGTGGTCGTCTGCCAAAAGGGTAGGGCGCTCTAACCCCTCGACGTCCACCGGGCAGCAGGGCGCACCAGAGACAGAAATCCCCCGTATAGCTTCAACAGGATGCCGGGGCAAGAGCTGAGCAGCCAGGAAGTCCATGCTCGGCGCACGACGGGGTTTGTGGCCAGCGCCGTGCTCGGCTGCTTTCCTCTCCCCGGTTCTGATGTTTTATGCACAGCATCAGGTTCTCACTTAAGGCTAAGCCGACCTAGCAGAGAACCATGACTGGTTAAAATGTTCACCACTGCCATTGGGCATGAGCGGGAATGGAACTCGAGTCACCGGGTTCAGGGTGCAGTGTGCTAACCACGACGTCGCCACAGCCAAAATGGCACACACACACACGTTCACTGCACCTTCTCAGTGCTGGTCTCTCACAGGGATGTATACACATATGTCTATGTACAGCCACTGCTGGATGAGCGTCTCACCACGCCACGTGGCTCGTGGAGTGTGTGTGACCACACAGGTCATCACGCACGCTGGGGGGTGCGGGGTAGTGGAGGCAGCGATCAGTAACTGGCCAACGAAAACAGAAACAAAGAAGATAGCAGATAGAAAGTCACAGCGCCAGATGAGAAGAGAGTCGAGACAGACTTGGCGCCATGGGGATATACCAATAACAGGAGCAAACGATCGGAAGAGTAAGTAAGCATATTTATTCACACGTGACTCTTGAAACCCGGGTTATCACAAGTGGCATGAGCTCGTGCCGACCGCACGCGCGGAATTGCTTCGCGGCAACAACTGGTGACCAGGATGCTGCAATATGCCCACCTCCGGGGCTTTACGAATTCAACTCTAACCTCAGCTCTGGGAAAAACAATGTTTCGTGAGAACACTGACCAAAGCCGTGAGCTTTTATGCCAATTTGTGCGGATTTTTTTTCCAATCTCATTACGGTTCATAATAAGAGCCCCTTGTTTGTGATCTGATGTATGAATATATAAATAGATCACTCGCCACGCCACCATTGGCAAGTTCTCAGATTGTCTCTGCACTCGAGCGCTTGCCAAGGCCAGATGTCCTCGTGTTTAAAACTGAGCCGGGGTCACTCGGAGCTCAGCTTGCACCCAGCACCACGGCGCACGCACGCGGACGGAGGCAGTTACGATGAAGACGATAATGATGTCTAAAACTTTGTTTGACCACGTAAGCTTTCGCGACCAATATTGTCCATGATAAAGGTGGATATTGTTGCCAATTCTGGCTGTCGCCCGATGAAGCTGGTTGCAATCACCAGCAAAACGTCACAGTACCCGAATTGTAAAATGTTGTGGATTTACTCTCCAACACACCGGTGTGCTGAAGTAGTAACTAATTGGCAAGTTTTGTTTACGTGACGAACCTTACTGATGGGTTGTGTCAGGTGGTGGCGAGTTTAACGACAGATTTATATTTACACGATTTCACCCAAAAAAATCCTTTATTATGGATAATAACGTTCCCTCATTTTCCTTGCAAGGCCTCACTTGAAACTCGCTACTTTTTCAAAGAAGGTCCAGCTTTTAGGCTGTTTGGCCGATTATACTAACGAGCATTTCACGTGTCAGAGGAAACGACGCAGTTTTTTGAGAAGACACACTTGTGCAAGGTGTGACACTTATGGAAGCAGGTGACGTGGTAAAAGCAATACAAGAGTGATAAGGAAGCCACTGAAAGTTAATGTGTGATTGGAGTGAATCGGGGAACATTTGAACGTCAGTAAACCAAACTGATTTCGCGTTGGAACTCAACTCAGTTTGTAAACGCTCCATGGCCGATACAACAACAAAAATATACCGTTTTGCTGCTAGTCAACAGGAGTAGCTGAATCCAAGGTCTGGCTCCTTCCACGTCAATGGCCTTTCCACTCCTGACCCAAGGCCATCATTCGAGGCAAAACCCTTGAGATTATTCCATCAAAACGCTCGAAGTTTTGATGAAATCATCTCAACGGGTTGGTTTCTTTTTCCCTCCCAAACTTGACGAGAGGTGCGGCTCTTCGATGCTTCTTTGGGTTGTACGTCTGTACCCGGATCTGTGTTGTCCGGCATGATGTCCGACGTTTCGCTCCACGTGCTCGGAGTTTTTTCAGGAATTGAATTGAACGAGAATCTCACAAGATGCTCGCACAACCGTGAAAACAAACGTAGTAGGTAGTTAGTCAATAGTTAAACGGTGAAAACCCCCAGAGTAGTTTAGACAATAGTTAAACCGTGAAAATACACGTCGTAGTTTAGCCAATAGTTAAACTATTAAAACACACAGTATTTTAGCCTTCCAATAAACCGTGAAAACACGTAGTTATTTAACCAAAGGTTAAACCGTGAACACTCACGTCGTAGTTTAACCAATGGTAGTATTACTATTAAATAGTAGTTTAACCAATCCTATTTTTACTACTACTACTACAAGTTCGAGACTTAGTGTCCAGTTTGACGGTGGGAAAATGGAATAAGCACCATGTGGCCCGGCTGCCAAGATGTCTGGGCATGTGTGAAAAAGAGCTTCTTAGCTCATCGGATTCCTCCAGTTTAAATAAAGCGATTCTGATTCTGGCGTCAGGCGGTTCCTTGCGTTCCGTCTTCTCCCCTCCGTCTACGTGGAATCGGACCACGTGCCACCACTCTGCCAGGGCTGAGAGCAAAGGGGGCAGCTGGTACAGCCGCACAGAGCCCCTGATCTCACCGCTCGCAGCTGAGCCGATCCCAGCCGGGGGACTTATGCCAAAGCGTGGCATTACAAGCTCCCGGCTTTGCAATAGTCCAAACAAACAAACGAGTCGGTGATTTCCTGCTCGAATTAACATTTAGACGGTACGTACTCATCTCCCGTATCCTGCCCTGTGGCCCGAGGTGGAGCGGATATTCCACATTCTGATGACCGGGGGCAAGTCATTCAACAGCATATTGACTTGCCCACAAAGTTGTACTAATTTTATTGACCCAGAGGGATGATGGGCTGAGTCAACCCCCCACCACGCCAACGAGGATGTGAACTCGCAACCTTTCCCATTGCGAGCCGCCCGCTCTACCGCGGAACCATCGGGTCAATTACTGTGATTGAAGGTTGTATTTGCTAGTACTTGTTAGGTGTGCGTGCGTGTGTGTGTATTAGCGGTAGTCTAGTGGTTAGCACGCTGCGCTATGAACCAGAGGTCGCAATCGGGTACCCGATACCCGTACCCTACCCGATACCCGGCTACCCGTACCCGGCCGGGTATGGATACGGGTACACGTTTGCGACCCTGGTGCGGCCGGGTACGGGTACGGGTAGGCCGTGAGTCACTGGTGAGTAACTGTTTGTCACTCATTTCCCAACGTCTTGTCTCTTCTCACAATTCAAGTTCCTAGAATCAACCCACCCGCGCCTGCAACATGGATTCATCCCAGAGGTCGCAATCAGGTACCCGATACCCGTACGGGTGGGGTACGGGTACAGCCGGGTACGGGTACCCGTTTGCGACCCTGGTGCGGCCGGGTACGGGTATGGGTAAGGAATCAAAATCCGTTTGCGACCTCTGCTATGAACCCGGTGACCCGCTCAGGGCCAACACCAGTGACGATTATTTGAACCGGTCCTAGGCCTCCCCTAGGTCGATTCAGCCTCAAATTAGTACCTGGTGTGGTGTGTAAAATCGCCGCTAGGGAGACAAAGGCGGTCGGATGTGGTGCTGGCCACCCAGCCCCTCGTGTACCATTCCGGCCTTCATAGATGCTCGCAAACAACACTTGCCGCTACAGTCTGTTAAGGCTATACGGGCGATCTTTGTTTTTGTTTTATGTGAATAGAGCCGACCTAATGTGAACCTATTGAGCATTTAAGAATAGCGAGGAGGGTCTGGTGCAGAACCGTTCTGCAAAGCTGTGTTGCTTCATTCCATTGACATTCACTTCGGCTCTCCGTAATTTTTCAATTTCAATTAGCAGATGAATGTTTCTTGTCCGCAGTAATTTGCGCTGCCTTAAAGAGCGTCGACACAGCGTCGCCTTCGTGCGGTGGATGTGACGGGCGAGGTGGACGGGGGTGCGTGGGGGTGGTGCCAAATAACATTTTGGCATTCTGCGCCACAGCTGAAGCTGGCGATGCTGAGATTGAGCCGCCCCTGCTGTCTTCCGCCGCTCACGTGTGTAGATTATTTCCAGCACGAGTGTTTGTTGTGGGTGGGTGGGGCAAGGAGGTGATCGCTGGCCGTCTGCCAAGCCGATGATCCATGTCACCCAGCATTGATTAGGACAGCGTTTGATGTATTAGTCAGTGGTATGCAACTGGGGCCCCTTGACCGACAACACGTTTTTTGAGAAAGAAAAGAATGTAACACAGTTCGACTGTACGTGCTTGGTGCCGTGCATGAATCACTGCGCGGACGCTCCCTCCGCCTGTTCACAAACACTACGCCGATGGGGGTTGCTAATTTGTCGACAAAATTGGGGATTTTATTCGTTTTCGATAGTTTTCGTCATACAACGGTCCAGTATTTTTGAGAATTCGTTATTGTAATTTTAAAGTTGAAGTATGCAGATATTTATTTCAATACCAGAGCACGGTTCACACGCAGTCATTATATTTTCTTTCGTCAATATTTAATTGGTCAAATCCACATTTCAAATGTTTACTTTCAGGATTGGTGTAAAAAAATAATTGCTAAACTTGAATGATTCTTAACAGTTTAGGATTTAAATCGCGACACGTACATGTAAGCATATGTCAATAGAAACTAGCGACAACGTGTGCATCATGTAGGTAAAGGAGGCGCGCATATGATACATTGGCGCACTGAGATCCCTGGATACATTGCGCCTTATAAATGTAAATTATTATTTTGTACGTATTATTTATATTTTAGAAGGCTGTCATAGGGGAAATAAAAACAAGGGAAGGTCTTAAGCCTGGACTTGGGCAGGGAGTGAACAGCATGGGTGACTGATGGGAGGGAAATCCAAACTACAGAGAAGAGGAAGGGGGAGGAGAGGCAGCAGAGGATACGGGGCAACATCTCAC